CTGCTTTGGGCTCCTCCTGCTCTTCCCTGCTGTGTGGGTAAGTCGCTGTGGGACTGCCCCAGCTCTGGTGTCGGTGCTGGGGAGGGCTCAGCCCCAAAAGGGTAGTGCAGGATGCCTTGGGCAAGCCCTGGGGGTTTCCAGGTTGCCTTCTCATAGGGCAGAAGATATTTAGGGCTTCCTATGGTCCCCTTCTAGCCCCAGGGCTCTGCCTGGGTTCCCTCCATTTGCACATACCCCACCCCCTTGATAAAGCCTGAGTGCCCAGTACCTTCATCCACCTGCACCTGCATCCTCATTGCTCACTGGTCAGGTCTGGCCTGCAAACCCCCCAGGTGGTTTGTGCTGCACCAACACTAGCCCTGCAGCCTGATGCGGTCCAGGGGTGCGAGCTGTCCTCCTCCCTAGGTTCACAGAACCGCTTTGATCTATGTGGGCGTCTTGGGGTTTAGAAACACTCTGGTAGTGGGGGGGAAAAAAAGGCTGTTTACTTTAATGTAAAGCTTGTTATGAGCAAGAGGCAGTATTTATTCGGCCCTTGCTTTAAGGGCAGGATGTGGAAGGGGAAAGGGGATACTCTTGGTTTATTTCTGTTATTTATAGTGGCTGGTGACAGTGAGGGAGAGCCAGGTCCCCTGCCCCTATGCAGCCATTCCCAGGCAGGGACACTGCCAGGGCTCCTTGTGAGGGCACTGTGAGAGTTTGTGTCTTGGCGCCAGTTGCTGCTGTGTCCCGCAGGCTTCATTAGTGAGACATCAAATGGGAACAGGGCTGCAGAGTGAGCCCTGAGCCCTCAAAGACAGACCATGCCCTGCATCACCAGGGTGAAAGGGGGTGGACACTGCAGCCTTGGGCCACTGTCTGCCTCTAGTAGCTGTCTTATGCGGATGGGCATAAAACCCGTCTTTTCCTCCAGCAAAAGTGCAGAAATGCGGCTTTTCCTCTAGCAAAAACCCGTCTTTTCCTGCGGCCTCTGCTCGCAGGGCTCCCGCACGGCCCGGGCCGTCGGGCGGCGGCGCTGCCCCGCGCTCGGCCGCCAGGTAAAAAATGGGGAGGGGGTGTTGGTGGCCACGCGGCCACCGCGTCTGTGCCCTGCTGCCCATCACCGTAGCCCGGGCCCTGCCGTCTGGGATCGTGCTTTGCTGGGCGCCGTGGTGCAGGAGCGCGCAGGTACCGCCGTCCTGAGCCTCTAATTGATTTCGTTAAATGGTTCTTGCCTTTAGCCCTTGGCTGATGTGCTCCGTAATTCTTGGGAAATAAGATCTAATTAAAGTGAGACGGGACTGTCAAGGGGCTCCCTAATTGTCTTTGCAAAATGACCTTGCAGAGCTCTTGGCTCCGTTCCCAGGAGAAAGGTGTTGTCAGTGCAAAATCCTGTACGGTTGTGGGGAATCAGTTGAAGACTTTCGGGAAATAATTCCCTGGGCTGGGAAATAATAAGCCCAGTGGAGATACTTCAGTGCTACCATCCTTGGTCTGCTCCAGTTTGGCTTCCTGGCTCTCCAGCTCCAGGGTTTCTGCAAAATGCTGGTAAAAGAAGAATGATCTTGGCATTGGGGTGGGAGTTGCACTCTGTCCCAGATGAATTCCCTTGGAATGTGGCATTGTTTCTCCAGCAGGATCCGGGCCTACTGTGTGCTGGGAAGCAGAAAAGGCGCGTGTGGGATGCCTAGCGCAGGGAGACTGGCTCTCCACGAGAGGGAGTGTGTGCCGGCACGTTTTTTCCCAGCTGGGCTTTTTTCCCTCCCTCTTTTTCTTGTCAGAGAAGGATCCCCCTGGATAGGGGTGGGCTTGGCTGGCCAGAGGAGACCTGCAACAAGAGCAGAGGGGCAAAGTGCTGGGGACCCTCCTCACTTTCCAAAGACCTCTGCCTGTGTTAGCCCTCCATGTCCATAGCAGGAAAACCAGGCAGGAGCCTCTGCTTTCCTGGGAAAGAGCCCACACTGCTGCTCTTCCATGTGCTTTATTTGGCCAGCTGGCTACGGGAAATTCTGGGTTTCCTGCAGGTTGGCATGAGGCTGCCAGTATCCCTAGCAGCCACAGGAACGTGTGAGTGATTTCCATTTTTTTTTTCCCATTTGTCTCCATTTTCCCTTGTCTGTGACAGCCAGGTGGCCTGTGCAGAGGAGTTGGCTTGGCCTTGCCTGGCTCCTTCCCTGCAGTTCCAGGTGTGAACAGCTCCCATGGTATCTCGGGAGCCTCCATCCTATCTGCCCGAGCTGATTATCGGCGAGCGCTTGGAGATTAGAGGTCGCTGTTTATGTCTGCGGACTCCGAGTCAGAGGGGCCTGTGTGGAGCCCACCGCAGACTCCTTGGCACCACGCAGCCACCCCGGGGCATCCGTCCCTTTCCTGGGAGTATCTCTGGGGACACTGGCTCTCGCTGGAGGTGAATCCCCAGTGAGCCAGGTGCTTTCTGCTCCTTGCATGGTCCTCATGCTCAGTGTGATGCCCTCTGCATTTCTGCTCTGAAACAGCTCTGGGAAGCACGTGAGGTCAGCATGCTTCCCCACCCAGATGCAGCCACTTTTGGGGCTGAACACCACGTTTTGGAGCAGCCTGGAGATGTGTGCTGCGTGTGCACGAGGCAGCCAGGAGCGGAGGGACCAGGCACCCGTGGGATCCACTGGGACCAGGGAGGTTTTGCAGGACCAAAGGCTGGATCGAGCTGCTGCACAGCAGAGGAGCAGCCTGATCCCTTCGCTCCCCCGTTGGATGCATTTCCGGCCGCTTTCCATCTGGCGCCGAGTTTAAAAGCATCTCCCGCAGCAGCAGGGCTGCCGCCAGCCCCGGCACAGCTTCAAAGAGGCAGCACCGAGGGGGATGCGGTGGAAAGAGGGAGGGAGAGGGAGGCTCCACGCCCTCTGAGGTCGGAGCGATGGGAAGGGCCTCCAGGATCTGCCGGAGCAACGAGTCTGTGGCTGCCCAGGCGAGCGCGGTGCACTGGGCCCTGTCACCTATTGCACTTGCTCCTGTCCCTTGTCCCTTTGCTTTTCCAACTACTAATGTCTTGTCACTAACTCAGGAGGGAGCGTGGCTGGTTCTCTGCTGTCATTCAGGCTTCTTTTTCTCCGCAAAGCAAGACCCCAGTCCAAGTGATGGTGATTTCAATGAGTTGGATGGAAAGATGACTTGCAGTCATCTGTCTTTTTTTTTCTCTTCCTTTGTTCTGGTTTTTCCTCAAATAAGAAATACCCAATTTGCATCCCATTCACAGAACAGGAGATGTCTTTTCTCAAGTATTAAGCCCTTTGCGGACAAAACAAGGAGCCCTCATTGCCCCGAAATGAGCAGCATCAGCACCCTGAGCCGAGGAGCCAGTTGGGTCTGGAGCAGGGAACACTGGCTGTGCCAGGAGGGAAGCACTGGATTTTTCCCCCAGTACAAAGATGGGGACATGCTCGGGTGCTGACTGGTTCTTCCTGTGATTCCTGCACTTTGTTGCCAGACTCTTCTCCTGGCCTCTGCTTACTCACCTCGCACTCGGATGTGCTTCTCCTGTTTCATTTTTTTCTTCCCAAGGCCTCTTGCTTCAGAAAATCTGTCGGAAGAAGTGCTCTTATTACCTGGTGACAAAACACATTCTTGAGATGGAAAAAGCTCTTTTCAAGGAAAACATGACATTTCAATAGAAAAGTAACTTTGTATGCTGTTTCTAATTTTAGAGCCCTGGCTTGGGATATTCCCATGGACTTTGAAATCAGAGCCACCCCTTATGCTTTCCAGGTTTTATCCACCTTTCCCATATAATTTTAAATCGCTCCTTCCGTTAATGAGACAATACTAATTCTGCTGCGGTGACTTTTGCATAGATCATTTTTAAAGCAGAGTTTTCTTAATTCTTTTTTGTTTTTTTTCCTTCCCCCCCGCCCCAGCTAGGCTATAAATACCCAAATTTAGCACCCGGGAATCGTGCAGCTCCCGGCACCTGGTAATGCCTGGGAAGCACACGTGCTCCCAGCAGTGCTCGCTCCCATTGACTCCTTTACCTGCACGTTTCCAGCTGGAGCGTCCGCTCGTGCGTGCAGTGGTTCACTCCATATTTGATGTTATCACTAAATCTCTGCCGAGGGGTTTCCCCTGCATTTCCAGTAGTCCCAGTCTGGCTCCATTTTGGTCGACTCCAAAACACGGGACAAAACTGGAAGTGAATTCAGTGCTGGAGCCTCCCAGAACCAGTAGAGGGAACACGAGAGCGATGCTGGATTTTTTTTTTTTTTTCCCCTCACTTCGCCATAAATTTCAGGACAGGGGGAACATGGCTACTGGATTTTAAAAATCATTATTTCTTGGTAGCAAAATGCCAGGTGAAGCAAGGAGAACAGCAGGAAGCAGGAGGGATCACCATATGGAGTGGGCCCCTTTCCAAGGCTGTCCCGCCAAGAGCTGCTGCTCCGGCTCCATGTCCGCCTGCATCAGCTGGGGTTGCAGCTCCACGGGACCAGCAGACTGCTCTTAAAATGTGCATTATAATAATGGTTATTATTATTATCGTCTCTGCTTCAGCGGAGGTGGGAATGGGGGAATGTTTCTGCTCGAGACTGATGCCGTGATCCGTCTCGGCAGATCCATGGATGTGCGGAGCACAAGGCTCCTTTCCAGCGAGGCCGTCGGCCCTTGTGCAGGTCTGAGTGGGTTCCATCATAAAATTGATTCCTTTCAACAAAAACTCTTTTTGATAAATTAAACCACCCCTGCTCTGTATATAATTTCTCTAAACAAACTTCCCTAATGTTTACCTAACCTGGGCACACAGAAACTTTTGCAAATTAAATATTAGATGAAAAGGGGCTATGAAAGCTTTAAATACTTTTTTTGAGGGAGGAGAGGGAAGGCAATGGCCTGTCTGCCATGGGAAAATACCTTGCAGGGCCCTCCCAGCCCCATTTTGCACCTTGCTGACCTGCCAACTTTGCTGCTGTTTCTATGATTTGGGAATATAACACCTGGATGTGCCTCCTCGGGGCTGCAGGGCATTAATCTGAGGGGCTGTGTGATTCAGTCATGTGTAGATGGTCTCCATCCTCTCCTCACAGATCCTTCTGGGGGACATTCTGGGGGTTTCCAATAGCTGCAGCCAAGTGACAATTAACCTGAACAGCCAAAACTGGGAGAAATGATGGTCACTCTTGGGGCTGCATTGCTTAGTTTGGGAGGCCAAATCCTCGCCGTTTTTTTCTCCACTTACTTTTCAAATGAAAGCTCAGAAATTCCCAGGTCTCTGAGATGTGCTTGGAAGCAACTTATTCTTTCCACTTTTGGGGTGTCTCTGATGTTCCTCAGCATTATTTTTAATGATAGCAGGTTAGCAGAGATAGCTGCTGGTGGATAACACTCTATTTATGGAGCAACCAACAGCTCAATCTGGTTATCATTGACATTGCTTATAAAATATACATCGCAATCAAGATACTGACCATGGCAGTAAATTGAAAATATATTGAAAACATAAAGCATTTTTTCAATTTATTAGTAATATAAAAATATTTGGATATTTTCTTTTTTCCCCTCCCTTCCTTGTTAAGAAGAAAGATCTAGAAGGTGCAATAAGGAAAGCTCTAGAGCTATGGGTCTGAATTTCTGTGCGAGGCCAAGGGATTTGCGGCATTTTCAGATGGTGAGAGGAAAAGTGCTCACATGGGGTGAACGCAGATGTCCTTTGCAGTGGGACCACCAGGATGCTCCTGGCATCCATTAAAAAGCTGCCTGCTCCTGGCCCCTTCCTTTAGAAAAAGATTTGGGGGAAAAATTCCCCCTCTGGGGCAAAAGCAGCTCTTGGCCTGTGGATCCAGGGAGATCAAACTTCCAAACCGTGTTCCTAGGACTGGCAAATTTCAGTCAGTAGCTGAAAAATCTCTTTTTTTTTTTCCTTGCTCATGGAAGTCCTGGTCCTTTCCCCCACACCCCCCCTTGCCAGCACATCAATAAAGGGTTAATGAGCACCAGTGGTGAAGTGTAAAAATATATTAATAAGGCTGCTGCAGGCTCCCCAAAAATGGGAATTTACTGTGGGAGTGGAAACTAATGTTTGGGATCATAGCGACATCCCTTCTCCGAATGCAGAAACAAATGAAACGGGCTGTGGGGCGGAGGGAGCGCCCCCGAATCAATCATATTTATTGCATTTAATCAAAATGGGGCCGGGTTAAATGTTTTCCATATGAAAGATGCCCGGGTTGTGTCCCATCGTGTT